TCATCATAATTTTGGTGAATATTTTTGTAATTTTTGGTAAAAAGTGATATTTTCGACTTCTTGTTAAAAACTGTAAGTCCGATTGCTTTGATACTATTCATATTGTTCATTTTCTAATGATGTCTTCAGTTCTTTAATTGAAATGTGCATTGCTAACAGCGGAGCTATCTCAGCCGATAGGCTGCTTGTTAAAGTTATTAATCAAACTTGTTAAAATATAATTTCGTGATTTTTATTCAAGATGAAAAAGTCCCACTGGCTTATGTGCGGATTATGCTATTTTGTTATATCTTATTCCTATTACTTTGACTGAACAAAACCTGAATAAGGTGCCATTTGAAGTAACACCATATTTTAACATGCTCAATAATTCTCCCAACAGTTAATTATAATCTATGTACATCTTTCATTGTTTAATTATAATTGACACAGTCACTAAAAACTGAACAGGGACTATGTCATTCACAATCACTCATTATGAACTCCATTGTGGTATGATGAATTTTGATTTTGATTATGATTTTGAATGATCATCAGGGGTTTTTCTAGAAAAAAAACTGCAAGAGGGAGCACTGCACCAAGTGGGGAAGATAGGGTTCTCCCTACCAGGGTGTGGAGTTTTAATATAATTCTAAGTTAAAATGGAGCATTCTATGGCTTCCTTGAGGCCAAAATTACTATCAGACATGTGATCCCTGGTCAATCAGAATTTTATGGTTGCCAGAGGATCTGCTCCCCAGGGTAATGGGACACATGGCCATGGCATGAGGGCGCTGCGCCCCTGTTCCCTTGTTTAAAAAAATCTCTGATCATCCAGTAAACTATCCTAGATTTCAAAGCAAATAACTCAAAAGGTCAACTAATTAATACAGTAGGGGTGTTGACTGTGCACTCTAGTGGTTTTGTGTGTAAACTATTTTCAAAATATTGTCTATGATCATACATCTATCCAGGGTTGCCATGGTAGCCCAAGATTCAGGATCCCCAGTGGAAATTAAACAAATTGATAAAAACAGACAGTTTGGTATTGCACCTGGTCAGACTGTTGCCATAGTGATAGAAATACTTCACAAAGATGAATTGACCATAATGCCTTGTACAGAAATAAGGTGAGTGACATTTTTGATGGGATTGTATCTGAATTGAGATTTTTTCATGAGAAAAATATTCACAGTTTTGAGTTCAAATTTGTTACGACATTTCCTTGTTTAATTACAAACTCATGAATATGCAGGAGGTCGTTTGATTCAGGAAAAAAAATCATAGATTTTATAATGGTGACACCATTAAATAAAACAAGTTTGCGCATTTTATAACAGTTTGTACGAAAACTCATAATTTAATGTTTAAGTCTTTAATAAGACACAAATCATGCCCAATATTTGACAGTCATGTAATTGTTTTGATATTCCCATACTTTGCAAAATAGACATGACTGGATTGAATCTCGCAAAGACTTTTTTATCCAATATATTCCAGGTTTACTTTAAAGCTAAGTACCACTGATGGCCACTCTCAGCGAATGCCGGTATCATTAAGATGTAGGAACTATGGACAGTCATTTATATATACATTTATTGATCATGATGGGTCTGTAAGTTTCACATATTATCACATGTATTCATTGTGAATCAAATCTCAACAGTGTAACCCATAATGTTGTATTTTTATTATAATTTATCTTAAGACATTGACAGAATCAGCTTATGTCATACATAGATGATGATTTGTATAACATAACAAATAGTGAAAGCCCAATACTGAATACCGGGTGATAATTTGAATATTATATTAAGTCTTGTTCCAAAGCTTATGAAAGATGATAATATATGCCTTTTTATAACAGACTAGGGAGTTCATCTCACAATAGACTAGGGAGCTCTTCTCTTAACAGGCTAGAAATTTCATCTTTTAACAGCCAAGAAAGTTCATCTCAGAATAAGCTAGGAAGTTCATCTCATGACAGGCTAATGAGCTCTTCTCATAACAGACTAGGGAGTTCATCCCACAATAGACTAGGAAGTTCATCTCTTAACAGGCTAGGGAGCTCATTTCAGAATAGGCTCGGAAGTTCATCTCATGACAGGCTAATGAGCTCTTCTCATATAGACTAGGGAGTTCATCCCACAATAGACTAGGAAGTTCATCTCTTAACAGGCTAGGGAGCTCATTTCAGAATAGGCTAGGAAGTTCATTTCATGGCTAGGAAGTTCAGTGATTAAGCATTTAAAAATGGAAAAGCTTCAATAAATTGTGTTTGTTGTTCCCGTCTAGGTACAGCAGGCATCAGCAATACCACCTTTAGATGACTGTCCAAATAACATTTGTCCTGTAAGTATTTGTAAGTTTTTGTCAACAACTTTATCATCTGGATGAAATACGAGGAACGACAATCGTAAATATTTTTATGCTATTGACCCTGCAGGTATTACTGACTCTCCATGGTACAGGTGAGTGTCTTTCATAATTTTACATCTATTTCTACATCTATACTGGTTTATAATGATGTGGCTTGCCTTTAATGTGAATTAATGAAATGAAGGATGATGATCAAATATTATGCACACTAGAAATTCACAATGGTATTCTGTTGAAGAATACAACATTCTTGAATTGTAGCAAGGTCATCATAGTTTCGCTTTGTTTCCTCCGGAAGGTGTTCAAGTTCAAAATCAAGCAGACAGCTATAAGCGAATGGAAAATGGTGACTGGATATTTGGTTTTGAGACTGCTTGGGTGCTGGCAGCCACAAGGCAAGTCTCAAGAATTTTAGTCAGAATATAGACTGCAATCAAAAACCAGTATTTAGTCATGTAAATACTGATATGATACTGGAGAATACAGATTACTTTAATATGAATTAATTAATTTATTAAGTAATAATAATTAATTTATTTTGAATTTATTTTGTCTGTTTAGGCATGGAGCTCATAACTGGGAAGGACCTGGAGCACTAACATCCATCACTGCCCTGGACACTCTGGAAAAGGTGATTGACATGTACACTGTTAATATACTCATCCACACTGATAGACATTGAAACTATGTACCCCTACCGGGGGGGTAATTATTTTCACTTTTCAAATTGCATTGTATAACACAAAACACACCAGTCCACAACATTTCCAGTTATTGCATCTAACAAACAAATTAAATCAAATCAAAACAAATTGAATTTTAGAAGTGATTTGCCAAAATTAGTGCATTTATGCTATTTTAGTATTTTGATACTGAAATTACTTGTACACAAACAATGTTTTTTTATTGTAAAATAACTCAATAACTGAGTGGTGTGATCAACAATGTGATATGATCTAATTGCCTCCATGTATGCTCCCTTGAATTTCAGAACTGTCCCTGAGATTATTGTGTATCTGAATTCACTTTGATACATATATTTTCAATAAATAATTCATTATGTTTTTGTAAATAAAGTCATTTATATTAACATATGAAATAAGCGTATGACAAATTTCAGAATTTCAGACTGTGATCTTTTAATTTAGATGAAGACAATAGAAACCTATTTACATTTGTCATTGAGTGAGCCAAGTACATTGCCACATCACTCTTAAAAAAAGTGGGTGATTTTTCAAAATAAGGGAGGAATGTCCCTTATTTTGAATAAAAGAGGGTGATTTTAAAAATAAGGGGGGAATGTCCCTTATTTTGAATAAAAGAGGGTGATTTTTTAATGATGCCTCAGTTGTTATATTTCTATCACTTATTTTACTCTGGATCAATTTCTATAATTAAGTACATATACCTCATTATTCTGCCATACAAACAGTCTAGTTTATCAACCCTACTAGTTGTTTTAACTAGATAAATATTTGTAATACATTGTTTCATTGTATTGATGTACATGTTAAAATACATGTATATAGCATTTTATGAGTGTTCAGTACTAGAGGAATGGTAAGGTAATTATGTATCATGCTGATGATATGTCATGTCAAGTTTGCAGATCTGACAACAACAAAAATATTTAGGCATTTTCATATTGGAAATAAATTATTTACTGCCGAAATAGTCCTCAAATCATGCTTATAGTAGGAAATACTGTGTGATTTCCTAAACTTACTACCCAAATATAAAGTTTATGAACAATCGAACACGCACCAACAAATAGTTCTGAGGGAACTCCAGAATTGTGAATCGCGCCAAATCACACTTCCCGAACGAGGCATTTGCACATAAGTTGTTGCAATAATGTCATCACTTTCAATACCCAAACATAGATAACCTTCTCAGCATCCTGGTTGAAGACCAAAGCAAGTGCAAGTCATGTGATCTTTGCAGGTCATTCTATGGGAGGTCATGGAGCATGGCATTTAGCAACCCACTTTCCTGACAGAGCACTAGCTGTGATGTCATTGGCTGGATGGATCAAGAAAGAGGAATACAGTGACAGTAATGAATTTTTCAGGTAAATACAAAGTATGCAAATCACACAGGATTTATTGATATTATGCTTTCATTATCTTTTCATAATGTTTATTTCATTCACAATTTGCATACATGCATGTCATTCATATTTCAAGAGAAAGAAGGATGTGTTTTCAAGAAAACATACGCAAAATAATCCAAAAAGCGACCATGTACAGAATCCATGTAAACACATTATTCTATGATAGTAATATTTAAAATTTTTCATGACAGTCGTATGTAGCCCCTGTAACGCTACATATCATTTTTTTAGCATAGGTCACCGAATAACAAATCTGAAATATGATACAATGTTTCTGCCATAGGTACCAATATATACTACTCAAAACACACATTTTTGACAAATTTTCGAGATTGTTTAATGGAAAAATTAGTTCAGTGACCATATATTCAGAATTTTGAACATTACAGTAACCCAGTCCCAGTCTTGCTGAATTTCAAAGATTTCTGTGTATGTTTTTTAATGGTAGCAAACTATGGGGAATCAGAAATCGCCTTTTTACGAGTGTTTTATACTGTTGGGTGACCACACAATTTATTTTGTAAGCAATAGTGTGTGACGTAGAAATGGCTAAATGGAGAATACACATATGTGTATATGTATATGATAGAAAATTGATAAAAATAAACATCATTCTGTTGTGTGATACAAATATTATGGAAGAATTACTATTTTCAGGACAGTTGCCATAGAACACTATGATAAAACTACATTTCATTTTTAACCTGTATCTAAAACTCAGGCTCATAATTCAAGTTAAAATGTATGTAGATCAGTCACAATATTCACAATTTCATTATGAATTATATCAAGATCAATCAATCAATCAATCAATCAATCAATCAATCAATCAATCAATCGGTGTTTAACATTGATATGTGATATAAAAAAAATAATAGTGTCTTGACTACTACGGTACAATGATTCTATGTTCCTAATAGAAAGAATCTTAGAAATGAATGCATGAATGAAGTAAATTAATAATTAATTAGACTCCTTCAACCTGGCTCTGTGTTGACTTCTCCCAGGACTGATATCACCAGAAAGAAAACTTTTTATCTTTAGGCATATCAGTATGCAGTCATAAGTTTCTGTTTTGTTTTTGTTTTCAGACATGACACAAGTACCAGTCACACAGATCCTGCAGTCAAAGCTATCATGGAGGTGACAATTTTTCTTCAAATTCATTGAACTTTTTTAGTAATCCTGTAAACCATTTTTTTCATCAGAAATTTATAGTTTGGAAAACTTTCTAATTAGGACCAGATTTCATGAAATTTCAAATTGAATTTTTGCAACAACCAGAAAATTTTCTGATTTTTCTAGCATCATAATAGATTGTCTCTCACAAAATGTGTTACCATGGTAACAGCAGTCATACTTTCTTATCCACAAATTTCTTCCTTTCTCTACTTTACTAGGCTTGCATAGTTGAAAACAATGCTGATATACATGTATCCAATATACAGGTAATATTTATATTCTCTCAAAACTTCTGAATTTTGTCGATAATAATAAGAAGTGTCAGAAGAGGATTCCTACAGGAACAGGAATTGGCGACTATGTTGCATATCTGGTGTAACGGAGAACAAATTTGTATACTGTAAAATACTTAATTTTCGCTTGGAATTAATTTTCGCTGTTTTCGTTGAAGGAATGATTCAGTGAAAATTAAATCCAGCGAATATACCTTTTTTCTTATATCTTACATTCAACTTGTCAACAATTAGTGAAAATAAATTCCATACAAAACACTCAAAACGTCTTTTCAGCGAAAATTAATTCCAGCTAAAATAAAGTATTTTTCAGCAATAAGAAGCACAACCTCTGTATTATGAAATTCATCGCATCTCATTATTTCTGACCTGATAGCAAACACGTTTAAGGGTTCTCACTATTTATGTACTTCTTTTGATCTAGCATCTTGATGTGTTTACAAGAATTGGTGCAAACGACAGGACAGTTCATCCATATTTTGTAAGGTATGTTGATATTCAGACAGTATATTTTATATAACACATTGTCGCAATTATTTTGTGCCATCAAAAAAGTCAACTGTCATTAACCTAATTAACTTGTTAACCACCAGTTCCCATTTTTCATCAGATTCACAAAATAGTCCCGTTTATAGCCTGCACTTTCCTTCAGATGATTGAGACAAAAATAGCCAATCCTTTTGGGTGAAAACTGTTAAATTGACTCAAATTTTGTCTGTTGGCTTTAAAATTAGGGTTTATTTCCAGAAATATTGAAGAATATAAGAAAAAAGTTCAGAAAAATTTAATTGAAAAAGTCTGGTGGTGAAAAGGTTCAACCACATATTCCCAGTTATTTTTTAAAGTTATTCACAAAAATTTTGATCATGATTTGTTGGCAAGATAAAATTTTGTTTATTTATTTTAAAATTCTATTCTAGAAAAATAGATAAAAATTTACAATATGTTCACAAAATGTTTGTCAGGAGAATGTTGAATTTAAAAAGTTAAAGATTGCCAGGTCCATATTACTGTGAACCAATCAATCATCCGCCATAATCATAACTGTTTTCTGTATCCAGAAGAATGTATCGTCTACTGAAAGAACAGAAAGCAAGTGTAACTTATGACGAATTAGCAGGCAAAGAGCACTGGTGGTGGGATACATGGTAATTTACACTTTTTTTTTACATTTTCCATGTTGTATGCCTTCTCATTTGGATAATAAAACCACTATGTATATCATAGTATGATATGAACATTCAATGACCAGCAACTTGTTCAAAATGCATCTCAAAAATCAATAGCGCCGCCTAGTGTTCATTAGTAGAAATAATAGATACCTTGTATTGCAGATTTTGACCCTGTTGTCAAGGGTATTTATTTTCTGAAATCAACATTCTTTCATTATAATTGACTTGGCAGGAAATACACAATGTGATTGTTACATTATCCAGACATCACAAGGTTAGAATGAGTTGTGGGTTGCCCATAGCTGAACACTGGAGTTATATTAATGTTGTTCAAACAAATTATGGAACCGACTACAGTGGGTGATGCAAACACCATAATTTGTTTTTACATGATTATCACAATATACATTTACTTATTTATCACAAAAATTGAAACAATGTGTTGCTTTAAATATATATAATACATAGTAGGAAGATTAAATATACATGTGTTTATAAATAAACATAAATATTTTCAGTCAGGTTTAAATTACTTGAATATAGATTCTGCTTTTTTCTGATTGTATACAACGGCCAAACAGAATTCATTTTTTTTCTTTATTTATCATTGGTTTAATTCACATTTGTTTTATAAGATCCTATATTTATTATTATTGCCAGGGAAACAAACGATGGAGGTGCTGTCAATGATAAGTCATTGAGGGATTTTATTGTGAAGCACACATCAAATCTTCTCATCAAGTCTCCTGGAATGACTAATGAACAGTGTGATGATGAAGGATGTGATGATGTTGCCATGGGAACTAGATATACCGCAGCGGGTAAGAAGAAAGGGACATACACTTTAACAGTTGTAAACCCAGCATTCATGGAAGGACTTCATGGAATCCAAGTAATACAACAAATAGTGCCATTTAGAATCAGTAAGATTAAGGTAGGTTGAAATTTTGGATTATTTTAG